ACCCCAACACCATTCTATGCCAAGGACACCACAGCCAAAAGTTAAGAGCTCAATATCTTTGCTGTTGCTGTTTCCTCTGAGACAAGTTGGCCATGGGTTCTGGTAAAATGACAGAGGTTAATGGGAGCAATGGATTATATACCCAATAATCACGAGGTCTGTCCAGATAGGTGAATAATAACAGTCCTAAATAGTTGAGTTGGTTTTTGATGTTTTAGCAAAAAGTCTCATTATTCCATCCACCAGCGCAAGCTTATCCTAAGAGCAGAAGCTGACTCGGAAATGAGGGAACAGGAGAAGCGCCTCTAAGTGTAGACTGTACGACTTTTTTATAAATTCACAGGTTAGGCAACTCACATAGTGATAGAAACAAGAAGGCTCATCAGTAGTAAAGCTCCGGGGATTATCGCCACCCTCTCAACAGAGGAACGCTGGGAGGTCCAGGCGAAAGCCACTGTCAGGGATGAAGAAGCCACCCAGGACCATCAACCATCCAGATCTAGGGCTGGAACACTCTGTGGATCACAGTGTTGGCGTGATGACGTGACCTGGAGGAGGGTGCAACGTGTTTCTGAGCATGTGTGCTCCTTTCTCAAGCTAAGGGGAAGATAACTAATAGAGCCATATATATACACACACAAGAGGGAAGCCCAGTATACGGCAGGACTACAACACCCAGCATTATAAAAACATGAACATTAACTTCACTAAACAATTATAAAAATGGGTTCTGCTACCCACAGATTAGAGATTCGCAATGCAAGACCGTACTACGATACCCATAGATGTGAAGAAAGCATCACTTGTCATGTCCATGAATATGAATGTTTGTCATGTTCTAGTTCAGGGGGAAGGAAATGAGCGCAGGTAGACCCTGCCCCGGCCTCTTATCTAGGAGGGAACAAAGGGGAATGAGACAGGTTACTGTCCTGCCTGATCAACTGTTCTAGGACCACTTATAGAGATTTTCAACAAATCCAAAATGGGCAGTTGTCATCATTTTGCACCTATGGGTGCATTCTACTAAATGAATAGTAGCTGTACCCAAAAAGATGTCAGCCTTGAATATACCGTATCGCCTTTAGTACTGTTGTCTTGGCCATGGGCTTGTTCACCTTCGTTCTTTTACAAACACTGTCAGTTCACACATAAGATTTACAGCAAATTGTGTGAATAGACTTCTGTTAGTGAGACACATTTCACATTTTCCACAGCTGACTGCTGATATAGTCACTTGATTCTGTTCCTTAACTCTCCACATCCACAGCTAGAGTGGCAGTTGATTGTGAGGTACATGGATAGCAGGAGTGTGAATCATGCCTAATCCCAGGAGGAAAGAACAAGTTACTGTTGTCTATGACCATACCAGATTTCTGGTTTAAGGTTTTAAAGGACAAGTATGGTCAAAGATTTTTTTTGGCCATCCTCTTTTGGGCCACAGGGTGCACTTATTTCTCTTGTGACCTAGATTCAGCCAAAGTCCACTGTCGGCTGACGTCACAGAGCCGGTCCAGGCTATGCAAGGATTCCGACAATAATGTTGGGATTCACCCTGTCTGATCGGCAGCTGGTTCAGCCTCTCAGTGCACCACCGAAAGCCTGAGCCAGCCACTCCCACCCCCTCCACAGCCTGGAGCTCCAGTGAGAACTGGAGGGGCAGAGCAGAGATTCGGTGACTGACAGTCACTGCTCTCTGCTTAGTGAAGACCGAGAACAGCCACATAGGTAAGTATGTATGTTGTTTTTTTTTCTTTCTCCTTTTTTTCCAGTGCAATTTACTAAATGTAAAAAAAAAAGCATCTGACCTGCTGGTGACACATACTTTTCACTCATTTAAATACTGAGGCACAGAGTAGTACATTCACTGACAAACGAAGCCATGGAATGCATGCTATTTATACGCTCTCTACCTCCTGGGGTGTGGATCTATCGTAGAGGTAACACAGAATGAAGTTCTGAAGTAAATACTCCACAAAACAAACGGATTTATTTAATAAATCTATGCAAGGAACACTGTGCTAAATGCAAAGAGCAGTGCCTGCAGCAACAATGGGTATCTGTATTGCTGTGGGGCTTACAGTGATCTCTCATTTGTTGCAGCAGGTTATTGCACCAAGTGTGGCTTACAGTGATCTCTCATTTGTTGCAGCAGGTTGTGGCACCAAGCGTGGCTTACAGTGATCTCTCATTTTTTGCAGCAGGTTATGGCACCAAGTGTGGCTTACAGTGATCTCTCATTTGTTGCAGCAGGTTATTGCACCAAGTGTGGCTTACAGTGATCTCTCATTTGTTGCAGCAGGTTGTGGCACACAGTGATCTCTCATTTGTTGCAGCAGGTTGTGGCACCAAGCGTGGCTTACAGTGATCTCTCATTTGTTGCAGCAGGTTGTGGCACCAAGCGTGGCTTACAGTGATCTCTCATTTGTTGCAGCAGGTTGTGGCACTAAGCGTGGCTTACAGTGATCTTTAATTTGTTGCAGCAGGTTGTGGCACTAAGCGTGGCTTACAGTGATCGCTCATTTGTTGCAGCAGGTTGTGGCACTAAGTGTGGCTTACAGTGATCTCTCATTTGTTGCAGCAGGTTGTGGCACTAAGTGTGGCTTACAGTGATCTCTCATTTGTTGCAGCAGGTTGTGGCACCAAGTGTGGCTTACAGTGATCTCTCATTTGTTGCAGCAGGTTGTGGCACCAAGTGTGGCTTACAGTGATCTCTCATTTGTTGCAGCAGGTTGTGGCACCAAGCGTGGCTTACAGTGATCTCTCATTTGTTGCAGCAGGTTGTGGCACCAAAGTGTATTGCTCCGTTTGTTCATTGAATATGTCTGGTTGGTACAAGTTTCCCGATGGCTGTTCTGCTATGAAGTATGAGCCAGGAAAATGCAGTAGAGTTCTGTCCAGGAAGACAATGTTGTGTTTATTTCTGGTAAATGCTGAGAAGCAAAGCATATCGCAATAGCTACAGCAATTCAGTTTCCTGCACAGCAGCAAGTCAGGAAATAGCTGAGCCATCCCATCACATAGAAATTCAGAGCCACTCGCTGCTAATCAGCAAGGAAATACGCAACTGAAAATTAATGTTCGTCCAGTTAGCGGACCCGGAGTAAAGTCGCCTGCACTAGACACAAAAAAACGTAAGTATGGGCCGGCCTGATGTACGAGAGGTGAGGGGCACACAATGCATCGGCTCCATTTGTTAATTGAACGTAATCACTACTATGGTGGAACCTGGTGCAATCTCATGGAATAATAGAACATGTGGGTCTAATCATTGGATGTATGTGATAAAAGCTGCTCTTTGTCTCTGGCATTCATGTGATTTTACATCTGTGCTAAAGAAAGTGCCCCGAGCTAGGTGCTCCATGATGCTTGTGAAATTCCTCTCCGCTTGCTGCTTCCTTCTGCAGTGTGTTTATAATGCTGCCCTGCTGCCAAGACCAGTTCCATCAGTGTGCTGAGCTCTGCTGTTGTTGGATGTGACCTGTGTCAGGACCCTTCTGGTCCTGGTAAACTACACGTCCCAGCATGGCCATCGGAGCATTGTGGGACCCGTAACCTTCCTATATCCAGTTAATTTTCCCTAGAACTCTCATTGAACTGCCTGAAAGAAAGAGTGTTGTCTAAAATAACCAATCACAATTATTCTATTTTCTGTCAATTTAGGGAGAATCCCCAAAAATGCTGAGATGCCAGGGGCTCTAAAATGTGACACACGACTGTTCAGCCCTTTATAAGAAGCACCCTATTTACAGGCTTAACTCTGTTGCAGATGTTTGCAGAACACTGATTAGGAGTGTAAGGGCCCTTTCACATGGGCAGACCGATTGGGACCGCCCATCCATTTTTCAGATGGACCCGATTGAACCACCCATTATTCTCTACGGGGGGGATCAGCAGGTGGATCCACTTGGCACAATCTGCCCATGTGAAAAGGCCCTAAAGCAGCCCATAGATTGCTTGATTTTCTTTCTTTCCTCCATGGGTGAATGGAAAGAAAATCACTTGATTTCCCCCATCAACACTGACTGCCTCCCACAGTGCTGTTTTGCCGGTTGGGGATATAGCCACTGGCAGTAATCGAATGTCAAAAATTCTGACAGGCTGGTTGTACAATCAGCCTGCTGATACATTGATCAAATCTCGGCCAGTCCCTGCTGAACTGGCTGAATTTCAATCCATGTATGGCCGGCTTGAGGGTCTGTGTTGATGGTCCTTATTTGTTCATGTCAGAAAGGTTTTACAGTCCCATACTCCTCTATAGGAATGTCAAACCTGCTTGAATGAGGTCAACGGCAGGTGTCAAGGAACTGTGAATGGTCTCAGAAGCATCTCAAACTGACATCATTGACACAAGCTCAAAGCCCGGTGGCACAGGCCCTTAATCTCTTAATAATTTGTCTCATAAATTCTATTCACAGCATTTTTAAAATGATCCTTTGGTCCGCAAAGATTAAAAATATAAATGAAATGTTTTTGAGCTACAACTTGAGACATCTCCAGGCATTCTATAAATGAGAATATTACTAAATGTACAACCCAAACAAATTTTCCAAGACCGAGGTAGCGTGCTAGCTCCCAGTTGCTAAATGAGTCGTATTTATAAGTGGGATTGGATGTTGAGCTCAGTGTGTATTGGCAGCACAATCTGTGTTCCTTAATGGGGAACATAGCTGTTGCCAGAATAGAATTTGTTTAAGTAGTTGGTCCACAATGGTACCAGTGGTAGGTAGTGACCTGCAGTTTACACAATCATGTATGTGCGAACAATACGACTACATGTTTATGTGACAATGGGAAAAATTACATTTCCTTTGATGGATCCATTTGGTTAGCGCAAGTATCTGGATAGATTTATGGACTGGTCTAGGAAGTTATGGCAATGCATTGTGGTTGGATGTTTTTGGCTTTCAATGTTATCAGCAACAATACTAACCACTAAAAAAAAAAAAAAAGTGTTGGCGTACAGCTGTAACTTACCCTGTCTTTATGTTTTTCCTTCACAGAGAGAGAACCGGCGGCTGCAGGAGACCAGCATGAGGCTGGAGCAAGAGAACGATGACCTGGCGCATGAACTGGTCACCAGTAAGATTGCTTTGCGCAATGATCTGGACCAGGTAAGTTCTGAATAATCCAATGAGAACTGCGGTGACATTTCTACCATCTCTCAGCAAAAGAGACAATTTATAGTTCTTCCCAGATGTGACAGTGGACAGATTTTTGCTTTTATCACAGCACCTTGGGAGAAGAGCAGAAGCTTTCAAAGCTGTGAACAGCACATCGATTGTTGCCTGAATGGAGTAGCATATCAGGAGGGATTGTCATTTGAGGAAAGTTAATAGAGCCTCTGATATGACAGAAGTAACACTTCAAATTAAGCTGGCCGTAGATTGATTAAAGTTCACCAGGGACCAGTTGAATTTTGACCCATCTATTGGATGGCTGGTTGTGCAGAGGTCAAACTCTCATTCGACTTTTGTACAACCAGCTTGTCGTGATTTTGTCACCCAGTCATAGCCGCCGGCTATCTTTTGCAACACAGGTCATTGTATTCTGGCGGCAGGGAAGGCCTAAGCATGCCTAAATGCTAGGTGTGTTTAGCACTTGAATGTTCATCTCAAAGACCAGAATAAATGAACATTCTGGCCAATGGAATGAATGGAATACCCAGACGCTTGGTGCACCAAAACGTGGCTTTAGGTTTGTTTTTATTGCTGCTTTTTCCTTTCCTGGAGCAAAGGCATCCAGGGGAGGAAGAAAACACCCTGTGTGCATGAGGCCTAAGAGTGCCCATAATTGGTGGATGTTGGTATGTTGAATTGTCCATCCTTTCCTTAGAGGTGAGATCTTTGTACCTTCCTTGCCTCATCCACAAGTGCTCTTGCTGGATTCTTTATTTACATTGTTGAGCGATCTCACCATTACTGTGGTCTTTACAAGTTAAAGGCTGATCTAGCTCTTCCATATTGGACATAATATTTGCGTGGCCTGAACCTTAAAGCAGATTTTTTTTTTTTTTTTTTTTTTTATTGCAAGGTAAAAAAATAATTCATGCACACTTGCAAAACTATTTTGCCTTGTAGCTTTTCCAGAAGGTCTCCCGGCTGCTGTGCATGATCGGGGATTCTCTCTGACCTCTTGGCTGCATCTCTGCTGGCTAAACAGTCCAACCACCATAGGCCTTCCGCACCTTCCTCTTCAAACCAGTAACAAGTGGCTGATAGGAGAGCAGGAGGATTGGGTGGTAATTAGGGTTGCATCGGTGCTGATAGTGAGTACTTATACTCGTGCAAATGTTTCTGACACCATCGCAATGCGATTTGAGCCCATACACAATGAATGGCCTCAAATGGCAAACGGGAATGCAGTGCGATTTATGTCCAAATCACATGTGATTTCCCCCACCACTCCTGTGTGATCCATCCCACTAGAGAAAGACAGGGAAGCGACATCGTGTATGCGATTCTTGAGCCCATTCATTTTGTATAGGCTCAAATTGCACTGCAAAAGGTATTGGCACTCGGTATCAGCAAGTACTTGACCAAATGTATCAGTACTCATACTCGCCAATAAAAAAAACACCCCGGTATTGGTGCAACCCTAGTGGTGATAAAACAAGCATGGTTCTCCTATAGAGAATGTCCTGTGAGGGAATCATATTGCCTCCCACTATCGCTGATTAACAAAGATGACATATGAATAATACAAAACGTATCTCACATTTCTAAGTATGTATGCAAGAATAACTGCACTTTCAGGCTGTTTGTATATAAAAGACTGAAAAATACTTAAATGCAATTGTGATATGGTAGTAATGGAGTATAGACACAAGCCTGTGTGATAATTGGAATTTATTTGCAGGCAGAAGACAAGGCGGAGGTATTAAATAAAGAACTTCTTCTGACTAAACAGAGACTGATAGAAACAGAGGAGGAGAAGCGCAAACAGGAAGAGGAGACAGCGCAGGTAAGGAGTCATGGTTCATATGTCCTACATAGCCACTGTTTTCTCTTCAAGTGGTTGTAAACCTTCACATACACAGTGAAGACACTGGCCTCAGGTGATACACAAAGATGAAACAAATCTTCCTACAGAAGTTGTACCTGTTTATCTGCACCTTTCTCTTCTCTACATCCATTCAAAAGCCAGAGTTTATAAATCTTGTCTGCACTACATTAATTGGGGGTATAGACCTTGAAATAAGAGAGGCCATATGAGTTTGTCTCTAGGCTTACAGGACGTTTTGATTCTTCTCAACAGCCACATGCTGGTTTACCCACAGAATTCCAGAATGGCTATACAAGGAAAATAATACTTCTAGTTTTACATTTTGTCGCTTGGTCTATACTTTAGCACAAGCTTTACCTTGCAGTAACCCTTTGTCCTGTCAGTACCCCTCTACTACATGTTAATGTCTAATATTCTGCTTTATTTCTACCAGCCAGTAGATGCTGTTGACTTACCTTTACTACTTAAATTAAAAGTAAATAGAAGTGAGCGCTCCTAAAAATAGCTGCTAAAACACCAAGAGGTACCAATAAAAACTCTGTAAAAGTATAGATAAATAAGTGGGGTGTAGCGCTCAAAACAAATAAAAACAATATGTCCACATATATAAACACATGTGAATGCGTAAACGGATATAGTCTGTATCAAGAAGAAATATAGCAGATGAACTTGTGACTCCAACCAAAAGTGAAAAATGCGCACTCACCTGAAGCGCATAGATGCGCATACATATATAAATTTCCAGAGTAGATTGGCCAATCCAGTGAACTTTATCCTATGGTGCAGTCATCAAGCCCTTGGAGAACGGTGTGTTGAATCCCTTGACCAGGAGTTCCTTCTTTAGGCTAAATGAGGTAATCAGCCTGGATACGGGGCTCCTGTTCCTCCAGATATGTTGGATACTGACAGGTACCTGTGGGCTTAATAGCTCCAAATAGGAGCCATAAAAAAGGTGCCCATAGTGTAGTATGTTAATGAACCTTTATTTGCAGTACCACATATTACAAACAGGGTATAGTGATATACAATAAAAAAAGCACTATACCTTCATTTAAAATAGCCGCCCGGGCTTCAATCCAGCACCAGGCGGCAGAAGTGTGCTGTACTGTCTGGTTCCTCCTAAAGGAGGCTATTTTAAATGAAGGTATAGTGCTTTTGTATTGTATATCACTATACCCTGTCTGTGATATGTGGTACTGCAAATAAAGGTTCATTAACATACTACACTATGGGCACCTTTTTTATGGCTCCTATTTGGAGCTATTAAGCCCACAGGTACCTGTCAGTATCCAACATATCTGGAGGAACAGGAGCCCCGTATCCAGGCTGATTACCTCATTTAGCCTAAAGAAGGAACTCCTGGTCAAGGGATTCAACACAGTTCTCCAAGGGCTTGATGACTGCACCATAGGATAAAGTTCACCGGATTGGCCAATCTACTCTGGAAATTTATATATGTATGTGCATTATCTATGCGCTTCCGGTGAGTGCGCATTTTTCACTTTTGGTTGGAGTCACAAGTTCATCTGCTATATTTCTTCTTGATACAGACTCTATATCCGTTTATGCATTCACATGCGTTTATACATGTGGACATATTGTTTTTATTTGTTTTGAGCGCTACACCCCACTTATTTATCTATACCTTTACTACTACTTGATTTTTAGTTAGGTTTGGATTTTTTTTTTATTTTTTTTTGTTATTTTTACCTTTACTTTTTTCGGGTTTAAACATGTGGCAGTTGCTTCTTCCCTGCTGGCCACTGTCAGTGTTGCACCTCATTGCTCCCTTGGCCCCCCCAGATTCCAAAGAGATGCTGTTATAATGTATTGTTCTGACATCTCTTTTTAGGATTGTAAATAGCTCACTGTTTTTACGCTGTAACTTTTTGATCTGTGGTTTAATGAAAACTCATTCCCCCCCACAGCTGAAGGAAGTCTTCAGGAAACAACTAGAAAAGGCAGAGCAGGAAATTAAGAAGACCACGGCTATCATAGCGGAGTACAAACAGGTAGGTTATTGCACGGTAGATTTACATCTCACTGTTATTAGATGGACATAAAGTAATGCCAACATCCACAAATGTTTACCAAAGTTTCTGTTGGGTTGTTTTCACATTTATTCTAGTAATATCTTTAAAGCTGGCCACACACAGCTGAGTTTTTTTTTCATTCAGCCATCTGAGGTGGATGTGGAAATCCTACAGGCTCTGTCATTGTATTCTGACAGAGGGACTCTCCCCACTCTCAGAATACACAGATAAGCACTGTAGTTGATGCAGCTTGCTGCACGCATTGATCAAATGGAAATTTTTCAGCACGATCGTTCATGAGACGTTGATCTATAGACTGACTTTGCATGAGCAAGAACCATAAATGGACCAAAATTCATCTAGTTACTGTTGAACCGGCCAAATTGTGATCCATGTATAACCAGCTTAAGTAAAAGTCCTTTTTAGTCTGTGCATTTTCATTGACATAGACTAGTAAAACCCAGATACTCACCAGAGCTCTAGCATTTGTAGAATGAGAAATTAACAATGGCCTTCATCTTTCTCTCAGGAAAGGTTTCTTATAAAACCGTTCTAAACTTCTTCCCACCCGGCCTATTGTACGATGATGGCTGAGTAGGATCACTATTATCCTGGGATAATATATATGACGTGCGCCTTGTGCGCGCCCCAGCGCGATCTGTCACCTGCTGTGCCCACCAGACACTGCTGATGACAGATCACGACACTGGCCTACTGCCAGTGTCATGTGATCGCTGTGACCAATCACAGCAGATCACATGACTGTTGTAAGCAATGGATGGCTTTTTTTCATGCCATTCATTACTTACAACTGTGCTGCTAGCTGTAATTGGTCACAGTGGTCACATGTACAGACTTGGCCAATCACAGCCCATCTGTAGCATGTGATCAGCTGTGGCCAATCACAGCTGATAACAACAAAACTACTGAATGAATAAGTCACATTCAGTAAAAATGCTTGCTTATGCCAATGAAATTCGTTAGTATAAACAATCATAATGTGGGGGAAAAAAAAAATCCAGGTCACTTGCTTGGAGTAGTACAATGTTACTATGGCAACATTGTATTGCTCTGGTCAAAGAAGTCGAAAAAAAAAAATCATAAAAAAAAGTAAATAAAACATGTTTATGATGAATAATTTTTTTTTAACAAACTGTCGCCAGTCAGTGTCCCTGATCACCGCAGCACCAGTTATATGAGGACGTTGTACTGTATTGATGACAGTATGTAAAAAAAAAAAAAAAAAAAAAAAAAAAACATGAAAGTATGTTTTTTTTTTTTTTGTCATTTCTTCATTTTCCACAAAGTTATGACAAAAAAATGACACCTTCAAAAAAACTTGCTATGCCTCATAATATCTACATTCCAAAAAGAGGTCATTTGGGAGGTATTTGTACTGTCTTGGCATTTCTGGACCTCATGAAATGAGATCATCAGTACAATCAGGATTCATCGCAAAGCAGGGATGAGAAACAAAGAGATCTGTTAGTAAATGTGGTACATAATATATACATTACACATTGCTAGGCACACATTCAACTTCTTTCCAGTGTCACTAGTACAGTGGCAGCGTATAGTCCTATCACTGGAGATGTCAGTGGCAGTTAGTCATTTCCCCCTAGCGTCAGTTAGTGTCAGACTGCCCCCCGCACTATCGCAATCCAATTATAAGTCACTGATCACCACCATTAGTAGTATAAAAAATTCCAAAATATATCCCATAGTTTGTAGATGCTGTAACTTTCATGCAAACCAATCAATACACAGTTATTGGGATTTTTTTTCTTTTTTCCAAAAGAAAATGTAGCAGAATACATTTTGTTTTTTATTGGATATGTTTTATAGCAGAAAGTCTAACATTTTGTAAAAAAAAAAAAAAAAAAACAAATTTTTTATATATAGTATCTTTTTTCGTTTATATCTCAAAACAATTAAAAAAAAAACCCAGTGGTGATCAAATGCCATGGCGCTAAAGGGCCTGGTCATAAAGGGGGTAAAACCTTCTGGAACTGAAGTGGTTAAAGTATATGTGAACCCATACCAAGTAAAACAACCCATTCAGTTCAAAATAGAGATGAAAGGCAAAACATTTGTGTATAGATATAAAGAGAGTTAAAAAAACATTATAAATGCCTTTTTTTTCTGTGATTACATTCCCTCTGTTGTCAAACTGCATAAGGAGCTCAGGGAGGAGAAACAGCAGTGCACTCATCTTCCCAGTGAATGTATGTGCGGGGGGATCAAAAGTCTGATCATTGGAGGAGAGCAGACTGAGTTCCCAGCACAGGTAGAAAACTGACCATACTGTGCTCTCATGCCTAGTGTGGTCAGTTTTAAATAGGAAAGCAGAGGGACTGGCAGGAACACTAGGGAAGCAACACAAGGAGAACAGGATACTTTTTCATACAAGTACATGGTACAGCAAGCACATGTTGGGTTTACATGTTATTTAAAATCTTCTGTTCTCTCACTTCTAGATATGTTCCCAGCTGAGCACACGGTTGGAAAAACAACAAACGGCAAGCCGGGAGGAACTTGAGATCCTCAAGGTGAGAAATGGACACAAATATAGTAAATGCTCAAATTATGACATCACTACAGTTGGCTTTCAGTATGTTGAGCGTTTCAAAATGGTATTTTCATCGCTTACTATTTTTTGTATAATGTTTTAAGGCCAAGGTGATGTCCTGCAGCCACTGCAGCGAGATCTTCAGTAAGGAGGGGTCGGCGCAGAGCTCCAGCAAAGACAAGGCAAGTGACATAGGAGATGACGAGAAAGACTCTCTGATGAAGCACTTGCGGGAGATGGAGCTGGAACTGGCACAGACTAAACTGCAGCTGGTGGAGGCCAAGTGCAAAATACAGGTATGTATCAAACCTTCTCAATACGGCACTGGATGACAATTCTCCTTGCATTGGGGGCAACCACATAGCAGAACTAGTTTTGCCTTTATACTTCTGACAGATATTCTAGGTATCCCCTTTATTTATACTTCTGACAGGTATTCTAGGTATCCCCTTTATTTATACTTCTGACAGGTATTCTAGGTATCCCCCTTATGACAGGTATTCTAGGTATCCCCTTATATTTATACTTATGACAGGTATTCTAGGTATCCCCTTTATACTTATGACAGGTATTCTAGGTATCCCCTCACTTTTTAGAGGAATTACCTCTCACTTCCTGTTTTGGCTGCAGGACAGGGAGTGAAAGGAAATCTCCACAATGGGACATAGATGGCAAAAATAAACTTTACAGAGGTTAGACCCCTTCCTTAAGAATACATAACCCTAACTAAGAAAACTATTGGGGCTTTAGAGGCACCATACCACAAAATTGAATACTCAAAAAATGTAACAAATACAACTTTATTAGTAAAATTCAGACCACAGTTGTGGTAATGATGATTGAACAGACAACACGTTCATCTTGTAAAGCATATAGTGCTTGTAACAGATAAAATCAGTATATGACATTACAAAATATGGCCTTAGATAGCACAAACGTCATGATTAACATGATAGTTCCAAGTTGATACTTTGCTTGTTTCACTGACGCGTTTCACAGGACACAGCCCGCTTCTTCAGGGAGACAAAGTACCGTATTTTCCGGCGTATAAGACGACCCCCTACTTTTCCTGTTAAAATATAGTGTTTGGGCTATACTCGCCATATAAGACTACCCCTCTTCCAATGCACACCAAATTAAAAACATCAGATTTGATTTCAATATGGTATGGTATTTCAGTATGGTATTCCAATGATGGGGTGCTATTCCTCCCATTGACACCAATGATGGGACATTATTCCTCCCACTGACACCAATGATGGTGCCCCATCATTAGTGTCAGTGTGTGAGGAATAGTACTCCATCATTGGTGTCAGTGGGAGAAATAGTGCCCCATCATTGGTGTCAGTGGGAAGAATCATGCCCCGTCGTTGGTGTCAGTGGGAGAAATAGTGCGCCATCGTTGGTGTCAGTGGGAAGAATCGTGCCCCGTCGTTGGTGTCAGTGGGAGGAATAGTGCCCCGTCGTTGGTGTCAGTGGGAGGAATAGTGCCCCGTCGTTGGTGTCAGTGGGAGGAATAGTGCCCCGTCGTTGGTGTCAGTGGGAGGAATAGTGCCCCGTCGTTGGTGTCAGTGGGAGGAATCGTGCCCCGTCGTTGGTGTCAGTGGGAGGAATCGTGCCCCGTCGGTGTCAGTGGGAGGAATAGTGCCCCATCGTTGATGTCAGTGGGAGGAATAATACCCCATCTTTCGTGTCAGTGGGAGGAATAGTACCCCATCGTTGATGTCAGTGGGGGGGGGGAATAGTGCCCCATCGTTGGTGTCAGGGGGGGGGGGGGGGGGGGGGGAATAGTGCCCCATCGTTCATGTCAGTGGGGGGGGGGGGGGGGGAAAAGTGCCCCATCGTTGGCGTCAGTGGGAGGAATAATGCCCCATCATTAATATTAGTGACACCAATGATGGGGCACTATTCCTCCCACTGACACCAATTACACTTGCTGACCCCTGTTCCAGTATGGTGCTGCTGCAGCCAGCATATGTGGTTGCAGCAGCACCTCTGCATGGCACACTTACCGGCCACTCCCTCACTTGATTTTCGCGGGGCCGCTCGGCTCCGCCTCTTTGCCAGTGATTGGCGCCTGTGTGCCTTTCCCGAGCTACAGTTCTGGCGGCCAATCACCGGTGAGGAGGCGGAGCTGAGCAGCCGTGCGAACATCCAGTGGCTGAACTGAATGAAGGAGCAGCCATGCTTCCTGAACTGGATCGTTGTGGGACTGGGACCGGAGCCAGGTAAGAAACAGCAGCCCCTGCCCACCCCTGTACTTAGTGTCCCTTCCGTTGGAAGGAAGGGGGGGGGGGGCGGCGGCACCGCCCCCCCCCAAAAAAGTGCCGCCCTGACACCAAGTGTCAGTATGCCGTATACCGGTGTATAAGACGACCCCCGACTTTTGAGAAGATTTTCAAGGGGTAAAAAGTCGTCTTATACGCTGGAAAATACGGTATATAATTCCATTAATGACATCAGTGACTTTGTGGGAGGCCAGTGGAAAGCATGGACATTGGATCCAAAAAGGAGGGGAGGAGGAACATCCCTAAATCTGCATCATGTCATGGCTGTATTTTTGGAGAGGACCGGTAGCGCTGTTATTACCACACAAAGGATTTGTACTTTCTTATTGATGCCAGATGGACTTTTCTTGCTTGGGGATATTTGGACGATACAAGTACCTTTTGGATGTGCTTCCTATTGTGGATATGTAACTGTCCAATTGGTGGACATCTACATTTCGGATTGAGGGATCTTCCTCCTCCCCTCCTTTTTGGATCCAATGTTCATCCTTTCCATAAGCCTCCCATAAAGTCACTGATGTCATTAATGGAATTATATATTTTGTCTCCCTGAAGAAGTGGGCTGTGTCCCGTGAAACACATTGGAGAAACTATCAAATTACTCATGATGTTTATGCTATCTAAGGCCATATTTTGGAATGTCATATACTGATTTTGTCTCTTACAAGCACTAGATGCTTTTTAAGATGATTGTGTTGTGTGTTGAATCCTCATTACCACAACTGTGGTCTGAATTTTACTAATAAAGTTGTATTTGTTAAATTTTTTTGAGTATTCAATTTTGTGGTATGGTGCCTGTAAAGCCCCAATAGTTTTCTTAGGGTTATGTATTCTTCAGTGTCTTGTTAGTAACCGCGTCTCGTCTGCCCTATAGCAGAAATACCGCTACAGGGCGGCATGAGTGTGCAAAATCACATATATATACATACACACGTGATTTTGCATTTTCAGGTAGGGGACGCGTGCGCTCTACCCATGCCGCCATTCATGACTGTCAATCACCGGGTCCAGGCTGGTAATTACTTGCCGGTGCCCAGTGATTTCCAAAGATCTCAAATGGGGAGGACGACGGTTTTGTTTACTAACAATCGTCCTCCTTGTCAGATTGGGCACACGGCTCTGGGTGGCTCCAGAGCAGTGGACTTACAGTGTGAAGCACACTGACACAGCCCTATAGTAAAACACTCCCTGCACACAGTTAACCCTTTGACCGCTCCTCACCCCTTCCTGCCCAGTACCATTAGTACAGTGTCAGTGCTTGCTTTTTTTTATTATTATTATATATAGTACTGATAGCTGTATTGGTGTCACTGGGGATGTCAGTGACACCAAGTCAGTTTTCCCCCCCAGTGTCAGAATGTCTGCCACAGTCCCGCTATAAGTCGCTGATCGCCGCCATTACTAGTAAAAATAAAAAAATTTCAGTATATATACCGCCATTTGTAAACGCTATAACTTCACGTAAACCAATTTCTTTACACGTATTCGGATTTTTTTTTTTAGACATGTTACAGAATACATTTTGTTGTATATTTATGACAATTTGATTTTTTTTTTTATTTTTTTACTGGACATGTTTAATAGCAAAGTCAAAAAATCTTTTTTTTTTTTATAGCGCAAAAAAATAACCGCACAGGTGATGAAATACCACCGAAAGAAAGTTCAATTCGTGGGGAAAAGGACGACATAAATTTAATTTGGGGTGCAGCGTTGCTTAACTGCGTAATTGTCAGTTAAAAGTAACGCAGCGCCGTAATGCAAAAAATGGACGGGGGGGGGGGTAAATCCTCAGGAAGGCAAGTGGTTAAGGGATGTGGCAGCAATAAATCCTACCCGGGAGGGGGGAGACCTTATTGTGGGTCTTTCTCCTTTATCTATAACCCTTCCTTACTCTATCCAAAAAGGGGGGGCGGGTGTTGCCTCTAGCTCTACATTCATATATTTTCTGTTGCATTACAATATGATTTATTTTGTTATTTTACATGGCTCTATTTAAAGTGGAACTTTAGTCAGAAAATAAACCCACAACAGTAAAATCAGTCTGTATATGCAGTAACGCATGCTTGTTATACTCACTGTGGAACCTAAGGGGTTAATCCTCCGCATTGTTTACCACTAGCCTACAGGGCACTTATACCCCCTTCCTGCCCAGGACAGTTTTCAGCACTGTTGCACTTTGAATGACAATTGCGCGGTCATGCAACACTGTACCCATATGAAATTTTTACACTTTTTTTGAGACCAATAGAACTTTCTTTTGGTGGCATTTAATTACCTTTTGGGTTTTTTTATTTTTTGCTAAACAAATCAAAAATTACTGAAAATTTCTTAGTTTTTGTTATAACATTTTGTAAATAAGTGATTTTTCTCCTTCACTGATGTGCGCTAATGAAACTGCAGTGATGGGCACTGATGAGGCACTAGTAGGTGGTACTGATGGGCACTGAAAGGCAGCTCAGATGGGCACTGACAGGTGGCACTGCTGCAGCTACACTGATCCCCTGATGATCAGTGTACATGTCCCCTCTAAGGAATGCCAATTACCGGCTCTCCTCTTGAGCTGTCAGCGTGACCGACATTTCCCTATTTCCATGTGATCAGCTGTGATTGGACACAGCTGATCACATGACCGAGCAGACAGCTTCGGCTCTTTCTGTTGGTCAACGTCCTCCCAGAACGAGAGAACCGCCTTGCGCCCATCATTACCTTATATGGGAAGCAGTTAAAAAGGATGCTTGATTCTTTCTTCCACTGTCTCCCATATATTTCCTGATAGAACAGAGGCTAGGGGCAATCTGCACTTGCTCAGTTTGGTGTGTATTGTGTTTTTTTTTTTCTCTTGGGAGAGTGCATGTGACCAGCACAGGGCCAATTAGCACTCGCCGGTTAGAGGTCCTGCATTCTCCTACAGGAGAATGAAAACTCCTCCTACAAGCTGTAACCAGTGCACTGCTGGACACTGATAGAAGTCACAAGACTGCTATATACATACTGCTGATAAGAAAAGGTATGTAGCAGTTTAGATTTACTAAAATAATTGCATTTCTATGTTGTGTGTACTGTGGGAGGGAGACCAGATATAGTGAATGAGGGGTCCGGGGTTTAGTATCACTTTAAGCTCCCAGGTTGGTACACCTGCCAGAGCAATAGAACTCAATGCTGGCCACCTATCAGCTAATGTACCCAACAAGATTCCACGTAAAACTTATAGTGAATGCAGGATCCTGGGTTTAGTAACACTTTATCTGGTCTCCTACAGTATTATTTTATTATTATTTTAGTAACTCTAAACTGCTATATTCTTTTTCTCATCCGTATTTAGAGCAGTCTTGTGACTTCTATCAGTGTTCAACAAAGCACTGGTTAAAGCTTGTAGGAGTTTTCTTTCTGCTCTAGGACAGGGGTGGGAAACTGTGGCCCTCCAGCTGTTGGTGAACTAAAAGTCCCTTCATGCCTCTGACTTTGGGAGTCATGCTTGCAACTTTCAGTTTTGCAATGCCTCATGGGACTTGTAGTTCTACAACAGCTGGAGGGCCACAGTTGTCCACCCCTGCTCTAGGAGGATGTGAACCCTCTGTCTGGATTGGCCGATTGGCCCTGTGCTGATCACATGCACTTGCCCTAGGAAAAAAACAACAAAAAAAACCTCTAGCAATACACACCAAACTGAGCATGTGACCAGGGGTTCAGTCTGTATCAGGTGGTAATTTTAAACAAGAGGAGGGACAGTGAAGACAGGATCAACCAGCCTTTTTACACAATGCAGCGGATTAACCCCTTAGGTTCCACAGTGAGTATAACAAGCATGCTTCACTGCATATACAGGGTTTAGTAACACTTTTTAAAACACAGATCTCAGCATTTTAGAAGTGGAAAATTTCAGATTCAGAGTTTTTAGAAGAAAAAAAAATTGTAATTAATGTAATATTTAACCACAAGCCTACAGGGCACTTATACCCCCTTCCTGCCCAGGCCAATTTCCAGCACTGTTGCACTTTGAATGACAATTGCGCGGTCATGCAACACTGTACCCATATGAAATTTTTATCATTTTTTTGTGACAGATAGAGCTTTATTTTGGTTGTATTTAATCACCTCTGGGTTTTTTATTTTTTTTAAACCAAAAACCACTGAAAATTTTGAGGAAAAAAAATGTTTTTTCTTAGTTTTTGTTATAAAATTTTGTAAATAAATTATTTTTCTCCTTCACTGAAGCGCTAATGAGGCTGCAGTGATGGGCACTGGTAGGCATCACTGATACACACTGAAAGGCAGCTCAGATGGGCACTGATATGTGGCACTGATGAGGCTACACTGATCCTCAGTGCTCTGATGATCAGTGTACATGTCCCCTCCGCGGAATGCCGTTTACCGGCTCTCCTCTGGAGCTGTCAGCGTGACAGCTCCAGGAGAGAAATGCTGATAACTGGCATTTCCCTGTTTACATGAGATCAGCTGGGATTGGACACAGCTGATCACATGACCAAGCCGACATCTTTGGCTCTGTGGATCGGTGATCCGCTGTGTCCGAGCGACACAGCCCACTGCCGATCACCACGCTGCGCGCTCCCTGAGCCGCGCATGCATGGTTAGAATGGGAGGACGTCATATGACGTCCTCTTAGAACCAGAGAACCACCTTACTATATGATGGGTGGAAGGTGGTTAAAATTATGATGTGTGGAACTCAGAGCTGCCATTCCAGAGCAGTCAGATGTGAAGGATTCTTCCACTGAAAATCTGCATAGAAGCAGGGATGATGGTTCTAACCAGGGGCCCGGGACCTATACTGCTGTCCTGGGATTTCTTCCTCTGCATGTCTAAGTTTACTGTCTAAAGCAACATTAATGTAGTACACTTCTGACCCCTCACTCTCTCCCCTCTGTAGGAGCTGGAGCATCAGCGAGGAGCGCTGCTCAACGAGATCCAAGCTGCCAAAAACTCCTGGTTTAGCAAAACCCTGAACTCTATTAAAACTGCCACAGGGACCCAGCCCACCGCACAGTCTCCCCAGGGAGCCCAAGCTTCCAGCCCCGTTCTGCAGGCCCCCAAGGAGAGCACATAACACCAGGGAAGAGAACACAACAAGAGCACAAGACGACCAAACAGGACACAGAGAATCGCGCGCTAAAGGAGTACCGATGCCTCCTGGGTGGATGGAGGTCACATGACTCTCTTCCATCACCGATGTGCCCAGCCAGCTTCTAATCTCCATGCCACGGTCTACTTCTGCCTCCTGCAACTGAACTTTACTTTGGGCTGCTGCCACTTTTTACACTTTATTTCTTTTAAAGGACTTGTACTATTTTAGTATAAGAAGGGCCCTAGGCTCTAAGCCAGTGGCCGACCGGAGAAACACTGAGGAGCTCATGGTCCTGGCTGCCTGATTCATGTGCGTGTTTTGTATGTATAAAATATGTTGGCGTGAAAAATACAAAATGTTTATAGAAATACATATTTGATCAAAAAAAAAAAGTTTTGACATATTGCTGCCTAAAAAAAAGTGCTAAATATTTTTTTTTTTTTTTTTAATTCTCATTCTTTGTCTATGGGATTTCTGCCATGGGACTTTCAGTGTTGTATTGTATGCAACCTGACAATTTGTTAATCCATCACAATATTATCAGTAATAAAAAAAAGTCATTGCTAATGTCTGTGCTAGACTCTTACTATGGAATGCCTTTATACACACACACACACACGTGTGTACAGGGGAAAGTAAAGGGCTGATTAAACGTATAACCAAAAGGTAAGTGGCCACGCATGGAACAGTCTGTGCAATTTCTTAGATTTACCAACAGCTACATTGGATGAGGACCTACCTAATGAGTTGATTTACATCTAATCGACTCATCTAATGAATGGTTTAAATCAGATTTCATCAAAGATCTGAAACCTGCTATGCTGAGGTGCTGCACTAGATTCTGATACAACTGAATTGGCTTCTATGGCCGTGTGCTTTTCCATAGCCCTTAGGCAGACACTTCTAATTTGCAGACAGTGAGGTTGATTTACTAAAGGCAAATAGACTGTGCACTTTGCAAGTGCAATTGCACCAAACAAAGTGCAGTTACTCCAGAGATTAGTAAATTAAGTAAAGCTTTGCTGACTTCCATCATCCAATCATATGCAAGCAGCATGCAGGGTTTTTTTTTTTTTTTTTCTCAATTTTTCTTGCATGTGATTGGGAATTATGTGATTGGGCAAAGTGCAGTCTATTTGCCTTTATACTTTAAGGCACAGGTGTCAAACACAAGGCCTGAGGGTCAAATCATGTGGCCCTCAGACCTCTCCTGCAGCTGTGGCACTCCCTCATCTCCACCTTGTCTCAGCAGTCAACAGGAGAGAGGAGGACAGATCTCCTCTGCCAGATCCTGCTCTTCTCCATGCAGCCACAGAGGCTCATTTCTGAAACCCCCCCACCCTTGGTCTCAGCAATTGGCAGCAGACAGGAGGGCAGAACTCCTCCTACAGATCCTGCATGTCTGTGTGCAGCTACAGCACCCCTTGTCTCCACCTCCCCTGCAGACTTCAGCAGCTGATTCCAGCCCTCCTTTGGTCCTCCTCCAGACCCTGCACTTTCTGCTTCCCAGTTCTGCCTTCAGCTACTTCCTGGTAGCAGCACAAGGTAAAGGGGGGGGGGGGGGGCCTCTGGACATCAAGACTTTGAGGACAACCATAATGCTGATGTGGCCCGCTATGAAATAAAGTTTGACACCCCTGCTTTAAAAGATCCACACCTATCGATTTTCTGGCAGATCAAAGTCTAGACGCACATTATACAGTAATGCATTTTTGTATTGTACATTTTTTTTATGGGTTCACATGCATATTTGTCAATAAAATGGGTGCTTTAACCACTTGCCGACCGCGCATAGCCGAAAGACGGCTTCACCGCGGCCGGCCAGTTCTGAGTGGACGTCATATGACGTCCTCCCAGAACGCGCTCTCCTGCGCGCCCCAGGGGGCGCGCACCCGGCGATCTCCGTGATCGCTGTGTCCTACGGACACAGCTGATCACGTGATGTGGTGAAAGGCCGATCCCACCGGCCTTTTACCACGTGATCAGCGGTGTCCAATGACACGCTGATCACAGGAAAATGCAAGTGCCGGTTCTCGGCTGCACTTTCCTCACGCTGTCAGATCGTGAGGAAAGTACTGCCGAGAACCGGCAGTTGTCAGAGCGGGGATCGGCACCGATCATCAGGGCACTGATGATCGGTGCCCAGCAGTGACCCCCGCAAGTTCCGATCAGCAGTGTGCCCACTAGCCCCGCCCACCCATTCCCAGCAGTGCCCCCACCAGTGCACCCACCTGTGCCACTCTGCAGTGCCACCTACCTGTGCCCAGAAGTGCCACCTACATGTGCCCAGCAGTGCCACCCACCTGTGCCCACCAGTGCCACCCACCTGTGCCCACCAGTGCCGATCAAAATTTCATATGGGTACAATGTTGCATGACCGCGCAATTGTCAATCAAAGTGCGGCAGCGCTGAAAGCTGAAAATTGGCCTGGTAAGGAAGGGGGTATAAGTGCCCGGTAGGCAAGTGGTTAAGTGTTGGTTTACCTTTACATTAAAACTGCCAATGTATTCCAGCATCCCACAGTCAAAAAAAATAAAAAAAGGGGAAAAAAACTAGGACCAGAAGCTTTCAAAAGCTGAACAATGGAGCGGCCTGCTATTTGACTGGTATGGCAGACATTTGAGGCAGGAATAATCACTCCGGCTCATTCACAGCTTGCACCGTGTGCATACAGTCTGTAAGATATTCTGCTTTGTGAGTGGAAGTTGTAATCTAATGGTGACATACAGCTGTAGTATTCTAATAAAACATCAACATACTGCTGGCTGACTGAATGAACAAGCTGCTTGCACTGTTGACGCAGTTATTACATCTCGACGTTCACTAACAGATGCTGCAATAAATATTTGTAGATCAAAATGTTCATAGTTTTTTAATTTATATTTTAGCAGAAAAAAAATATAAAATCTATAGTAGCATAAAAAATGGAAAGTGCTTGCTAAATACAGTACATTGGATTGTTAATAATGCTGTAAACAAAAGTCTTCATACTTTAGAAGGATCTGAAAGAACTGTGTGTTATTTATCGCAATCACATTATCACTCATATTCTCTGGAACCTTGAAAGAATCTGATTTCTTGGGTAACAGCCAGTTCTTTCATTGCCTTTCATAGGTCCCATACATAAAAAAACAGCAGTAAGTCTAGACAAGTGATTCCTGATATTTATAAAAAAAAAAAAAAAAAAAAAAAACAAAAGAACAAAAAAAAAAAAACAAAGTGCTCATCCTCCGACCTACCCGACAGAAGGCACTGCTGTAGGAAAGTGACTACATCACTAGTCACTGGTCATATCACCATGATGTAACAAGTATCCAGAGTGACCCATCTCAGCAACATTACAGGAAATACTACACCTTTATCTGCTATAAACTGTACAAACGGGTGTATTCCTGGAGGAAGACAGCTGTGCTTTTCTGGACACTCCGATGGCACACAACCCCCATCATATAGGACACTTAGGTCAGTGATCCATCTTCACTTGTCTGTAACCTGTATGTGATAACACTGCAGATCTTCGGGGGAAACGTAGTCAGGTGCCTTGCTCATAAGGTCATGACCTCGAAATGACTTTGGAAAGGCAATAACATCACGAATAGTTGGTGCTCCAACGATAATGGCAATCAGACGATCCAGTCCTAAAAACAGAACATTCCCCACTTTAAAAATACTAAATTATCTATGTACACAATGTATCCCATGGGCAATATACCTAGTGTGCTAAAATAGAACAGACAGAAGTTCTATTCCCCGCTCCAATCAAAATTAGAAATACATCCTGGTTGGAGTAATACTTCCGGTGTCATTCAACCAAGTACATTGTGAAATTGTTTGTTAAACCTTACCTTAATGAAGCCTGTAACAATTAATTACCAATTAAATTATTTGTTTTGACCTATAGCAGTGATCTCTAAACTGTGGCCCTTTGCTTGCTTGTTTCCGGCCCTTGGGGCACTATTTCATTCACAGATACCAACAATGGGGCATAATTCCCCCCCACTGACACCAACGATGTGACAATTCCTCCCAATGACAGCAACAACGGGGCCCACTGGAGCACTATTCCTTCATATGACACCAATGATGGGGCGTAATTCCCCTCAATCACACCAACAACGGGGCCCAACGACACTACTGATGGGGCAAAAATTGCTCCCACTGATGCCAAAGATGGGTTATTGTGGTTTTTTTTTTCCCCCCCACTGACTTCGGGACCTTTTATACTGACAATGGCCACAGTCCAGCCCCCCCTAAAGTCTGAAGGACCGTAAACTGGCCCTTTGCCTAGAAGGTTTGGAGGCCCCTGATCTATAGTATCAAAAGGTAAACTGATGGAGGGTCAACATTATATATGAAAGATTACAGATGGCGTTCCATTTTAAAAATCATTTGCTTTTCTATGGTTGTCATTTTGTTTACTTTTTGCAGAGGGTGGAACATTCACTTTCAGAGAACACTTTCCCTGGGCCTGGTTTTCTATGCAAAACAGAAAAGCAATTAAACCAGACTTGTCCTCCTTTTTTCCTAAAGGATCACTCCACCCAAAACTTCAGCTTTTGAAAAGAATTTGGCAGGCTAAATCACCCCCTGGCTTTATATATCAAAAGCTGTAAAATCCCTGCACTTCACTACCAGATTTCAACGTGCTACCACAGCCAATGTAAGTGGAACCTGCTCTTCCTATGGCATTTATGCAATCTGTGAGTAATTCACCACCCCACTGTCCATCGATCTGCCCATCAAGTTTAGGGTGGACAGAGATCTGATGTTGGACCAATATGTTCTCAGTACCAAGTCAGCCAGCTATAAAAACGTTCAACAGGCATTTTAGAGTTCTGCTTCATTAACTACATAGGAGTATATATTAATAGTGTCGCATCTCTGGAATCGAAGCTCTTAAAATGCAAAACATGAATTTAAACACCTACCTAATGCAATTCCACCATGAGGTGGTGCTCCCGACTCCAGAGCCTCCAGCAGATGAGAGAGAAGACTAACATCCTCCTGCAGAAACACACAGGATTTATAGTAGACATAGACCCATGCAACTTTATAGCATAGCACTGATAGTAGTCATCTGAAAAATGCTCCATTGTCTAGACCCACTTTCCATCCATATCACAGGGCTGTGAGGCAGCTGCCATAGTGGTGGATGCAAAAGCCATCACTGAGAAACCATTTCTGTTTTAAACCCCGATGACACCATCAATATAGTTCAGTAATCAAAAGCAGGAGTGGGCGGGATAAACCTCAGATGATACAAAAGTCCCAACAAGCCCATGGAAGCTAAAAGAACAGAGGGTGTCTGAGCACTAGGTTTTGCTTGCTTCAGAATTTACAAAAAGCAGCTTGAAGCAGGTTCAATGAACCGATCAATAAACTCTAAAAAAAAATGGATTACGCATTATTACAAATGCTGTTAACCACTTCACGTCTGGATACTTTCATCCCATTCCTGTCCAGGCCAGTTTTCAGCGCTGTCACACTTTGGACGACAAATGCAACACTGTATCCATATGAATTTTTTTTCATTTTTTTGAGACAGATAAAACTTTATTTTGGTGGTATTTATTCACCACTAGGGTTTTTATTTTTTATAATATATATATATATATATATATATATATATATATATATATATATATATAAAAAAAAAATTAAAAAGTCCAAAAAATTTGAAAAAAAGTGTTTTTCTTACAAAATTTTGCAAATAAATATTAATCTTTCTTCATAAATCTTGGCCAATTTTTTTGTCAAAAAATTACCAAATATTTTTCAAAACATTTTTATTTTATGTTTTTATAATTTGTTTGTTTTTTCATAACATACAGTCACCCTAGCAGTACAGTGTCACCATAGTGACACTGTACTAGTGGGGGTGATGATTTTTTATTTTTTTACACCGATTGCTTTTACACCCATAAAGGCTGTAAAAGCAATCATTTCTCCTCTCTGGCTGCATTCTAGCAGCCATTGAGAAATACTGTGAGAGCTGTGATTGGTCACAGCTTGTTACATGGTACAAGGCTGTTGTGAATAAGCCTTGTACCATGTGACTTCTGTGATCATTCACAGATTTCACTAGTAGTAAGCAATGATGTCAGAAGTGACATCTTGCTTATTACTATTCATGTGATCACTGATTGGCCAATCTCAGTGATCACATGATTAGGATCTCACACAGAGGACCCGTACAGCGAACGGTGTTCTGCTGTATCCTCCGGACATCCTCCAGGGAGTGTGCACGGGCTAAAATGGGGGGCGCCGTTTATGAACGGCAACCCGCTCCTGCACTGCTCCCGTCCGGCTGTTTATATTTATGGGCCAGACAGGAAGTGGTTAATGATGTATCTAAGAAAAACAACTTCAGCCCCAGAATGGGCAAAGCATGGCTGCTCACCTTTAGAACATCCTGGAGGACCCAGCGCTGAAGTTCTGCACTGTGAATGCGGATGGAGCCACCTCCGATTTCATTACCATTTAGGACTAGGTCATAGTGCTGGCCGCGTACCTAGAGACGGTAATCATACACAAGTACTTGTAAAGTATTTTATGGTCATGCTCATAAAATGATGGTGCCAACACCCACCTCAGACACTGAGCCTAGACAAGTACACATGGCACTAACTGGGTAGAATTTGAGAGTTAACAAGTTTTTAATAACTGATCTTCTATGTCACTTTTCTTATCCAATTAAATCTTTATTTTCAAATGATTATGCCGTACCAATGACTATGGGATATAAGGCCTCTTTTATACAACCCTTTCTATTTTTTTTTTTTTTATTTTATTTATTTCAGGTACTTATATAGCGCCATTAATTTACGCAGCGCTTTACACATATTTATTGTACATTCACATCAGTCCCTAATCCTCAAGAGCCGTACACTCTAAAAGGTCCCTAACTCACTATCATACATACACATATTAGGGCCAATTTAGACCGGATCCAATTAACCTACCAGCATGTCTTTGGAGTGTGGGAGGAAACCGGAGTTCCCAGAGGAAACCCACGCAGGCACATGGAGAACATGCAAACTCCAGGCAGGTGGTGCTGTGGCTGGGATTCGAACCAACAACCCTAGTACTGCCAAGCGGAAGTGCTAACCATTTAGCCACTGTGCTGCCCCCTTTCAATGTACATCAAAGTTAAGGGCAAGTCCTGGCACTATAACTGTTGGTTCTTCTGATACACTAAAGATGGTCATATATAGTACAATCTTTTAGATTTACCAATAAATTAGTGCAAAAATGGAAGGAAGGATCAGGAAACATCCCAAGAGCCAATTGGCCTCTTCAGGAACTAAGCAGGTGAGAAAACCTACTGAGTAATACTTTCCCTTTTCTGATAAATTGGTATCAGCTCCTCCTACTCTACATCTTACCCCCCACCCCCACCTTTGTTTGGTGACTCTGCAGTACCCGAGGTTTGTTTGATCGGAGTGCGGCCACATCTTGACTGAGAGTCCAACCTTCCTCTTAAATCTATAGGATTCAAATGAGCTCTCTTAAAATATAGCTACCCATAAAGTGAGACTTGAGGCAGTAGAAGTCTAAACGTGGTAAGTGTCAGCTCTGGGGCCGCTATGTCAGAGTGGTAGTGGTACCTTGGCTGGCTCTGCGTACAGAAGATCCATGTCCTTCAAGTGAGGAGCTGTGAATGGATGATGAGCTGATTCCAGGTCTTCTACATTATCTTCTTTGGGGAGAAAGAGTGGAAAGTCGACAACCCATAAGAAACGAAAAATATTGGGGTCACGGAGAAGCACCCCACATTCCTCTAGCCGAGAGGCTACATCCAGACGCAGCTTTCCTAAAGCGGTGCACTAGAGAAGGAAAACAAACAATATAACCCTAGAAAGGTTGGCAGTATACCAATCAAATACTATAAATGTTACCTGTACCCCAGCAGTGTAATTAAACAAGAACTTCAAGAACAAGAACATTAAGATACACTTGAAACACATACAAATGAGCTGTATTTGACTAAATTTGCAAATCACTTTAATCAGTCTAGAAAAGATACACCTGCCAAATAGGATGCAGGGTCCTGGACCTCAGGGGAAGTGAAATATCTTGGCTGGGACACACACCACAGCCTGATTACAGGTGCAATGCTTTGCATTCTCCTGTGAAAAAAAAATAATAAGTGCACACTTTTTTTTCCTGCAAAAATATGTGCATTTAATTTATTTTATTTAATTATGTTTTTTTTTTTTTTTTTTTTAAAGGCTGGCTTCACTGTGGTTTGGCTGCATACATCACAGGTGTACCTGTAAGTTTTGTATGGTTAACCCACAGTTTTTCCATAGACTTTCTATTAGATTGTGCGTTTTTGGCACATTTTCTGAAAGCACACCAAAAGTCCTGCATACTGCATCTTTGTGCATTTCGGGCGTATTTTCTGAAAGATCACCAATCTAATAGAAAGTCTATGGAAAACTACGGGTTAACTGTACAAAAACCACAGGTACACCTGCGCTGCGGGCCTGCGCTGCAGTGTGAAACCAGCCTTAGCCTTAAAAGAAATCTAGACAGATGAAAGGGTAGATACTCACCACTGTGTCATGCTCCCCTGCCGCCACTAGGAGGAGATCTTCAGCTACTGCCCCAGTGACCCGTGCAAGGTCCTCCCTCTGCGCTTCACTCAGGTATTTGTCACAAGAAGCGTCTTCCAGGAACCATCGGATCGCACAGCAATTGCCATCACTTCCTGCATTTTAACAGTTGTAGATACAATCAGGCTTCAGCTAATTACAACAAAGCTGCATGCAGGGAGGACTCCAACAGACAGCTCATGAAAATCCTACAAAGAAAAATCCTGTACAATCGGTGTGTTAAATGTTATACACACATGGACTTCCAGGTAATAGAGACAGACAGACAGACCCTTCGTTGGGCCTTTTGGCCAGTACCTAACCAAGAGACACAGAATGCATCCAGGGCTGCTCATCTCTCTCCGATCCCATGTACTGGCTCAGATGTGTGCTTACATGCCAACATTGGTGGTGCCTGTCAGCCTGTCAATGATTTGTACAGGTGGCTGGTTATGGCTGATCATAAAACACCTGTTGATAACCACGGCAGAGAAGCACTGTTTTTAGCCTTGTACACCCCAAATCACAGCCCTAAAGAGAACTTTTCCCATCATAAAAACACATTTTTTAAGGAAGAGTTTATCCCCAGAAGGCACTGGAATGCCCTCTTAATATCTTAGTATCCATTTTAATTAAAAAAGGTTGCAAACCTCAGACATGCAATATGAGCAAAGCACATCCCTCCATAGTGTGTACTAAGCGTCATTTCTCATTGCTGTTTTGTTCCTCTGTTACCAGCATTAATTACTTCTGACAAATTTTCCTGACACCAAGAGAAAAATGGTGACAGGAAAGGGACCTCCAGCAGACTGACAGCCTCAGCTCCGTTCTTGTGTTGAGGTGGTGTGTCCCTTCCCTCCAATCAGCTCTCTGAGCTCTCCTTACTGAGCTCTGCTGAGTGTATTTTCAGCTCTCCATCCCGTTTTCTGAACTCTCAGACAGACTTTATAAATTCAGCACTTTGTCAGCAGTATTCTCTTCTCTGCATCTGTTCAACAACTTATGTAGGAGGATTTGTTTCATCTCTGTGTATCACCTGAGACCAATCACTGGGTATATGTAAGGGTTTACAAACAATATTTATAGAGACTTAGAACAACAAGGTACACTCCTAGTTAATGTTTTTCCAATATCTTTGCTAATCCAGATGATTGGCTCTCACGTGAGTAGCTGGGGACTAGAACAGAAGACACCATTGTTCTCTGAGCACACCCTGTGAAGTACAGCCCAGCCATAGACCCCTCTTACCTGTCCATACTGCTCTTTGATCTTCTCCACCATGGAATCCAGAACTTTACCCTTAATATGTTTCTGGGAAGAACAAGAAAACAAAATATGAAAACATTTGTATTCACCATTTTAAAGAAAATCTTCAGCCTAAGCACAGACACCCCCTATGGTCTCTAATGGCAGAGATGACTTGAGTTATAAAAAGAAAGCAATTTTTTTTTTTGTTTTAGTCTCTGAAAATCAAGAGAGTTGCAAATGTGGATCTCCTATCCAAACCAAAGTACTCTGTTGTGGATGGAGGCATTGTGAGGTATAAGGGGTCATGTTGATCCCCACCACTAACAGCCCTGCTGTGGAGAAAAGGGGTTTTGACTGTTGGAGATCTAGGGAACAGGGAGTGTTTTACTCACAAAAGATTGCTGACCAGAAGTTGCAATAAAGAAGATCTATCTTTTCTTTTTGTCTACAGTTCTGTCTTTGCTATGGGACAAAGTGCATGTGATGCTTTCTACGTCTAGTTATGAGGTCTGATGGCTGATCAGAAAACAGCTAGGAAGTAGACAGATATTCATAATGGACACTTGCCTTGGCTCTGCACATTTTCCAGAGATAGGCAACAGCAAGAGGAATGCAGAGACTGACGCCCACCATGCCCTGCATTCCTTTTGCCCTTGCTTGCCTGTCAAAAATGCTCAGCCATCTCCTTCCTAGTGGTTGTCAGATTGGCCATGGCAGGAGGGGAGGGGGAGGGGAGGCAGGTCAGACCTCAATTAGACCTAATAAAGACTTTACATGTAGTGTGGGTATTACTTCGTCCCATGTTGCACTCTGTTCCATAGGAGACAGAACAGTGAAAAGAAATGAATCAAAGCTCTTCTTAACCACTTCCTGTCCGGCCCATGTACATAAACGGCCGGACGGGAGCAGTGCAGGAGCGCGTGGCCTTTTATAAAAGTCCTCCCGCATTCACTGCCCGTGCGCGCTCCCTGGGAACACCGACCGCTGTACGGAACTTCTGTGTGAGGTCCCGATTCATGTGATCCCTGATTGGCCAATCAGTGATCACAAGAACAGTAGTAAGTAAGACGTCACTTCCTGACATCATTGCTTACTACTTGTAAAATCTCTGAATGATCACAGAGGTCACATGGTACAAGGCTATTCAACAACAGCCTTGTACCATGTGACAAGCTGTGACCAGTCACAGCTCTCACAGTATTTCTCAATGGCTGCAAGAATGCAGCCAGAGAGGAGAAATGATTGATTTTACAGCCTTTATGGGTGTAAAAGCAATCTGTGTGTAAAAAAAAGAAAACCATCACCGCCCACAAGTAGTACAGTGTCACTATGGTTACACTGTACTGCTAGGGTGACGGTATGTTAAAAAAAAAAAAATAAAAAAAATGTAAAAAAAAAAATGTAAAAAAAAAATGTTTTTAAATTATAATTTTTGGTTATAAACTAATTTGGATTATTTTTTTTTTTTACTAGAAAGATAGATGAATACGTTTTGGCCAAGATTTATGAAGAAAGATTATTTGTTTGCAAAATTTTATAAGAAAAACACTTTTTTTCCCCAAAATGTTTGGACTTTTTCAGTTATACAGCAAAAAAAATAAAAATCCCAGCGATGCATAAATACCACCAAAATAAAGGCTGAGAATTGGCCAGGACTGGAAGGGGGTGAAAGTGAAAGACTTGAAGTGGTTAAACACCAACACTGAATTTCAGGCAACCCTCCATTCCCACCTACTGACCAGACAATGATAGAAGACTGGTTAGCTCTTCTCTCTGTCACTCCACTTTCTCCTCCTATCATATGGCGCTTTGTAATTCTTCCTCCTGAACACAGGAGCAGCACGGCATCACTGCCACACACAGGATACCCACTGAGCCTAATGTAGCATTTGGGAGACTTTGCAGGGGGGGGCTTAGGTTTTCACTAAGCCCCCCCCCTGCAAAGTCCCCAAATGCTACATTAGGCTCAGTGGGTATTACAGTTTTCATGTAAGCATGGATGCACTCATAATTAAGTGTCGCAGCACTTTTGTGGGTGGGGGGTCAAAGTTCTACTTTAAAACAACAAAAAACCTTTGGCTTTACATAAAGCAAAAAGGCCAGTAAAATGCATAACAAGAGCAAAAACAAAGAAAAAAAATGTGGGGCAATAAAAATCTAGTCAATAAAAAAATAAATAAATAAAAACAGCATACGGGAGCTCAAAAAGAATAATCTACATCCAGAAACAGGGAAAAAACCCATCAGATAAAATTGGAGTTTGTGAAACATGGATTTTTCACCACTGAAGTGTATGACTTCGTGTAGGGCTAGAACACCATAATAAATGTAATTCCAATGTATTATTCATACATCTCTTTCAATCTTCCACAGGCACAGTGTATTGTTACACTCACCGCTCCCTCAGGTACTCTGATGGCTTTCACACATCCATGGGGTTTTCCGAGTGCTTCCTGAACAAATCCCAGCTGTGCTGTCCTCATGTGTGCCGTTACATCAGTGATCTAGGGGTGGATCAAACAAAGTCAGTAGATTACATTAAAAGGGAACTCCACTCTACCTTTCTAGTCCTGCGCTCACGCTTAGGCCTGGTTTACACCTATTTTTAAAGTTTTTTTGCAGAAATGCACTACAGTCCATTTGACATGGTTTCCTATGGGATACATTCACATCTAAGCTTTTTTCAGCTGCTGCATTTTGGAAAGGGTCAGTTTTCGGTTCAATAGACTTTAACAGAGACCCTGCAGAAAAGCATGTAGTGCATTTTGTGTTTTTCATCTGCCTAACAAATTGGCCAAAAAGAAAAAAAAAAACAAAAACACAAGACAGATTAAAAAAGCATGAAAAAACACATCAGAAATGTGTGTGCAAAAACACAAAACGCACTGCAAAAAGCACTGCAGAAACAGATCAAAAGCAAACTGCAAAGGTGTAAACCAAGCCTTAAAAAGTAATTTTGCAAAATTCAGGCCATTTAAAAAAAAAATGTCTTCCGAGCATGTTGTGTCAACCACTTACTGCCTCTGTCAAAGTTTCAAACCAGCATAAAAGAGAAGCAGTCTGCCACCAGATATCATAAAACCCATGTGACGGGGTGGGGGGCCATGGAACACAGCTCACTTTGGAGAGGTGGGGAGAACCCTGTCTCAGCTCCCCATATCCCTCTTATGTGTAAGTCACTCTGTGCCTGTTAGGGGTACAGGGTGATCTGTCCTAATATTGGGGTGGGGGGTTGTGGATGACTTAATGTCATGTGGTTGCATCCCATTTTTCTATTGTGTGTCTTGCTTGGGAGCAAACTATTATGGGATGTATGTGTTTAAGTGTATTGGGTTGGTGGGGGTGTGTTTCCAGCAGCCCTCCTGATGGGACTGTCTGTTGGTGTGTCTCTTGTTACTAAAGGTAGATTGCCCCGCCCTGTGTCATTATGCAGGGAGGGGGTATTGTCCCATTGAATGTATATATCTTGTATCTGTGTTAAAATAAACTAGTCTATTTCTTGGTTTTATTCCAAGACTGGTGTCGTCTAGTCTGCTGTGGTGTCTGTGGTCGGTGTTCGGATGGGGAAGCGGGAGTCTAACGGAAGTACCCAAGTGCAGTCAGGGTCCGGTTCCGTTACACCCCATCTACCAACCCCAGTCAAATGCTGTTATTTTGCAATCCAGTAAGAGCTGACATAATGACAGCACCAGACGTCAGAGTCAGACACCCAACAAATTAATGGCAATCAAGGTACATAGTCATTCTAGAAAAGGATAAAGCCACCTAGATTTAAATCACAAAATGTAAGACAATGGCTTGCTCTTGAAGAATATTTCTTATTCCACTAGGTCTACCCAAAATCTTTGAACCCTTTCAAAGTGTGAAAACAAACAGTTATCAAGGATAAATGGGGCACCTTCATCTCAAAGCGGGTGTCAGGTTTGTCCACGCCATAACTGCTCATGGCTTCTGGATACGTCATCACGGGAAATGGATCAGGAAGGGGTCCCTTTTCTTCTGGCCAGGAATATCTCAATAATCCCTCCACAAGCTGCCGTATCCCCCACTGGTCTACGAAGGACATTTCTATGTCAACCTATACACAGAACACATTCGAAGGGTTATGCAGGAGAGGAGAACAGTTGCTGAACAAAAAGATAATTAGAAGTAGACAGTGCTGGTAATACTTTACTTACTAAAAACATTCTTCCTTAGTATTAAAAGAGAAAAAAAAAAAAAAAGTTTACAGGTGTAAAATATTCCCCTTTGTATCATCTTGAAGCTTCTGCAGAATTTTTCATTTATTTTTTTGCTAATATAACTTAGAGCAGTGGTTCCCAACCTCTCTTTCACACACATACCCCTTGCCAATTAATTTCTAGAAATTACAGTATTTTTCGCTCCATAAGATGCACTTTTTTTCCCCCATAAAGTGGGGGAAAATGTCTTTGCGTTTTATGGAGCGAATATGGAGCGGCTGGCCCAGTATTTCCGCCGCCGCCGCTGTGTTAGAATACCGGGCCGGCTGCTCAGCTCTGTGCAGCAGAACCTGCAGACCTCCAGTGGTCCTACCTGTTCCTCGGTCCAGTTGTGTCCTCACCATCTTCTCTCCCTGGAGCCAGCATCTTTAGTGTGGACACCTGGCTGTGACAGCTTGCGGCTTCACAGCCGGGTGCCCACTGTGCATTCGCAAGAAGCACTGCACTTTGTGAATGGCCCTGTAGTCTCCTGGGACCTGTCACGTGTCCCAGAACACTATGGGGAGGGAGGGGGAAGGATAACTCCATGAAAGTAGGAGCGGGTACCTGTCAAATTCGGATACCCGCTCCCCATCTCCTGTACCGTGTCCGCAGTCTCTGGTCATCTCCTGTACCGTGTCCGCAGTCTCTGGTCATCTCCTGTACCGTGTCCGCAGTCTCTGGTCATCTCCTGTACCGTGTCTGCAGTCTCTGGTCATCTCCTGTACCGTGTCCGCAGTCTCTGGTCAGCTCCTGTACCGTGTCCGCAGTCTCTGGTCATCTCCTGTACCGTGTCCGCAGTCTCTGGTCATCTCCTGTACCGTGTCCGCAGTCTCTGGTCATCTCCTGTACCGTGTCCGCAGTCTCTGGTCATCTCCTGTACCGTGTCCGCAGTCTCTGGTCATCTCCTGTACCGTGTCCGCAGTCTCTGGTCATCTCCTGTACCGTGTCCGCAGTCTCTGGTCATCTCCTGTACCGTGTCCGCAGTCTCTGGTCATCTCCTGTACCGTGTCCGCAGTCTCTGGTCATCTCCTGTACCGTGTCCGCAGTCTCTGGTCATCTCCTGTACTGTGTCCGCAGTCTCTGGTCATCTCCTGTACCGTGTCCGCAGTCTCTGGTCATCTCCTGTACTGTCCGCAGTCTCTGGTCATCTCCTGTACTGTGTCTGCAGTCTCTGGTCATCTCCTGTACTATGTCCGCAGTCTCTGGTCATCTCCTGTACTGTGTCCGCAGTTTCTGGTCATCTCCTGTACTACGTCCTCAGTCTCTGGTCATCCCCTGTATTATGTCTGCAGTCCATTGCTTCTGAATATTTTTTTCTTGTTTTCCTCCTCTAAAACCTAGGTGTGTCTTATGGAGCGAAAATGTCGGTATACCCGCCCCACCCCCAAGAACACCATACACACGTCCACAACATGTCACAAGCTGTATACTTTGATCCTTAAAATACGGTTTTAACTGTACTTAAAATGAGAGCCACAAGACCACCAGGACACACCCTAAACCTCATTCAATGCTGACAAGCGGTATGCTTATGATTTAGAAGATTACAGCTTGTTAGCATTGGATGAAGTTTGGAGTAAGTCCTGGTGCTCCTGTGGCCCTGATACATGTGTCACTTGCTTATATTACATGGTGTCAGGACAGCAAAGTCACACTCCCCTTCCAACTACATTCACTGCCGTCTCATGCGGCGTCCCCGCACCTCAACACCAGTGCTTCTACTCTGCTTGAATGCATTCCTTTAGGCAGAGTTTATGTGACTGATATCAGAGGAATTCAGAACTGGAAGATTCACAGACCGAAAATAAGACATGTTCTGATGAAGTAAAAGCTGCACCAGACCCAGAGACGTCAAGCAGCTTGAGGAGGCGTTTTCATGAGGATACTCAGTTATCAGAAGACTTTATCAGCATTTTTATTAAAATGTGCAATTGTCTTTTTAAGATGCTAAAAGTGGAAGACCTGCATGAGATGGACTGAAAAATCCAACTACTGCTACTTATATTGAGGCCATCATAATAAAATAAATGTAATATTAACCAAAAAGTAAACTTTTTAAAAAAATTGCACAATTCTCATGGAATGGCGCAAAACCACAAAACCGCAGTAATTAAAAGGCTCCATAAGCAACACTTTAAAAGCCTTTACAGGTTACCAGTTTAGAATTACAAAAGGTAGGTCTAGTGTTAGAATTATTGCTCATGCTGTAGCATTCACGGCGATACTTCATGTGTGGTGTGATCACCTCTTACATTCGTGGCGTGACCTACGTATGCGTTCGCCACTACGTGCAAGCACAGGGGGGAAAGGGGGCACTTACAATTTTTTATATTATTTATTTTCTGACTTTTTTTAGTTTTACACTGTCCCTTTACATTTTTTGATCACTTTTATTGCTATCGCAACAAATGTAAACATATCTTGCGATAACAATAAATCAGGACAGGCCCTCTTTATGGAGAGATCTGGGGTCTATAAGATCCCACAACTCTTCTCCACATTAGATTTAAAAAAAAAGCCCATTGATCTACTGCTTTCCTAAGAACAAAAATGGCCTTGTTTACATTGAGCCGGAACTGGAAGCAACGTCATGACATCGTTCTGGTCTTCCTAAGTCATAGAGGTTAACTGAGGCCATCTGTCCTCTGCCGCCGCAAATCGCTGAATTGGTTAGCGGGCTCACGGATCAGGCAGGCAAGCCTGAGAACCACCAGAAAGTTAATCAGCCATTCAGATCATTTTTAAAAGAAACAGCAACAGCTGCTGTAAATTTTAACCAGGGCATGGCATCCAGCTGCAGCAATAACCTTGGTATTCCACTTCAAAACCGCAACGTATATATACATATTGCGGTCTTGAAATGGAGGGATCAATCGATCGATATTTATTAATTTCACTCACCCACAGATGAAGGCAATACAGCATTTTGTATCTGGCCAGGATTCAAAGTGGATGGACTGCATACTCTGCAGCATCTGTTTTCATGCAGCTTAAAGCGATTTTTAAAGTGACTTTAACATTTTTACTTGCTTGCTGCTCCATAGTCAGTAAACTGAAGTCAGTTTACAAATCTGGAAAAACATCCCTCCAGAGGGGAAACTGTATATATTAGGAACCTTAACCGGCCTCCCCAGCTTGATGACTATTGAAATAGAATGTGAATGAAAATGAGTGATGTCTTGCTGGTACAGATCACCCAAAACAGTCAGTTTGGCAGTAACCAGCCGACTTACGGCCCCGTGTGTACAGCTGTCTGTTCTACAGACGTTGGTCTTATGACCAATTTCTGTTGAATGGGCATGCTGGAAAACCAGCATCCAATCAGCGCTGGCGGCGTGTTCTGGTGGAAAGTGGGGGGGGGGGGGGGACTCCCTGTCAGAACACAATAGCACAGAGGGGGAGATTGCCACACTAACCACTAACATCCCTTGTGTCTGTACAGTAATCTCTCTTTTTTTTTTTTTTTTTGCTTAGCCCACTGGATTGCAAAAAAAAGAAAAAAAAAAAAAAAAAACCCCTTGTGCGTACCCTGTATAAACAACAGCAACAGGCACATTGTACATTAGTGATTCTAACTCCCCAGTGAATGAATTGCGACTTTAACATGCCCCTTAGCTATCAGACAGAAAGCGGACATCAAGTGCTGACCACATTACCTGTGTAAATTCAGGCTGTCGGTCCGGTCTGGATCCTTCATCTCTATAACAACGGGCAATCTGGAAGTATCTGCAATCAGACAAAAAACACAGTTTCCAAAATGTGGATCTTTTACCCCCTTCCTTCTACCCATTACCCCCAGCAGTTTAATATCAAGATTAAACTATACAGGTCATGGGAGAAATACAGGGGACGCGATTGCCGATAGCATTCTGGAACTGATAGTCATCCGTGTTTTAATGACCCCCTCTGGATTCAATACTTTGAATACGTCTCGGAGCTAGCACATGGATCAGGTGTTCTGACTATACTGGCTATATACTTGTTCCTCGTCACGGACTCAAAATATGGAAGGCAGATATAGTCAGGATATATAGCCATGTTTTCATTACATAATACATAGTTTTGAAATTTGCCAACAGATGATGTTATTTGTATAGGAAACTACATTTAATGTGACCTTAGCCAAGACAAAGAAAAACAAGTGACCAAATTACAGGGCCAACAGCACCTAAATATTGGGCAATCTATTTCAAACACAGAGTACGCTTGCCATGGTTACCAGGAAAAGAAATTTGAATTTCTGGTAGCTTAACCTCCCTGGCGGTATGATTATTTCAGATTTTTGATGCTGAAAGCGGTACCATTATTTTGCATAGAAATTTGGCGTTTTATATTGTAGGCCTGTAATTTTTAGGAATAACTCACTGAAATCTGTCCGAACAAGAGTCTAGTAAACATCCCGGGGATGATAAAACTTGAAACACGAAATCATATATTATAATTTAATAAATAATCATAAAAAATAATATAATAATAATAAATTTAATTCAATAATGTAATCAAACCAAAAACACTGAAATTTGAAATATAGCGCCAAGTTCGCACATCACTGAGCAAAGTCGCAAAATCTTTTTCAGTGTCTGATAACGAATTTCCCCACAAATCATCACTCAATTCTGCAAGTGGTTCTGATTTACTATCGCTGTTCTTTAGCTGGTCTAAAACCGCTTTTGACCTAAAGGGACGCTTTTTGGACACCATGGACGTAAAATGTATGTGAAATGGTTTGATACAGTAATGTTATACTATGTGATTTTAGTGAATGTCACTTTTTGTCATTTTCAAATTTCCCGCCGTTCCGTCCCCCGTACGTCCCGACGCTCACAGGGGACGGAACCCAGATGACAGATGCCGGCATCTGCCAGATTATATTGCCGGGGACACTGCAGAAGGGACATCGCGGGAGCGCAGGACAAGGTAAGTGCAAGAGGGATCCCGGAGCAGCGCCGCATGGTATTCCCGAGTGTAGCTCGGGGTTACCGCTTGTGGTACTGAAACTTTACCCCGAGCTACACTCGGGGAATACCGCCAGGGAGGTTAATGGAATCAAGGCGGACCATGCATTAAAATGGTCATTTCTTAGGGCTTGAGTACATAAACATTTTTAGTTTAGTAACACTTAAATGCCTGACAGTCACACTGGTACAATTAAACATTTTACAAAAGGATAGGTGAAAAATGAACATTTGAATACAAATCCACTCTAAATAGCATAGCAATTATATGCTGTAATAAAACAAGAGTTTTCATAAAGAAAAGCACTGAACTGAAAATGCCACCCTTGTAGCCCAGACTCACCTGTCCAGACCACCAACCATAAGGAGTTGCTTGAACTGCTGAGGGCTCTGGGGCAATGAATAAAACTTGCCATGCTCCTGGGTTGGCACCACAAATTCTTTGGCACCCTAACAATAAAAGGAATAAAGAATAAAACAGTCTTTTATATGGAAGCGGTTATAAGTAAAAAAGGGAAAAAAACGCTCCTTATAGGAGCAGATGGGCAATTCCTTCCATTCAGAAGCTTTGTGTGGAGAGGAACGATCAGGCTGTGTACACTGTGCAGAGCCAGACAGAGATCTCCAGGACATTATTATAGGAAGACGATGGTACGGGCAGATACTTCACCTGCACATAATCAGTAAATCAGCTTCCATAGCATACCAATTACAGTGTGATGGCAGGAGCAGACAACAGCAGGATTCGAACCCTGGCCTCCAGCAAATCTCTCATTCAGTTCATGTCTCTTACCCGAGGAGCCACTGCCCAGTCCCTCCACAAGACAGGCAAAGTGTGTACATACCCCCGGGGTTCTTTTAAACAAAGTTGGTGTTTCAACATCCACAAATCCTAGAACAAAAAACAAACTCCTCTAACTTATCATACAAAAGAAATCTATACAATTTACATATAAATGCCAGAAAGAAGATAGCCGGAACAAAGACATTATAAGGAAGGGATTAGGATTTTATTATCTTCAAATGGCTGTAGCAAAGCAGTGGAGAAATGGCTGCAAGAAATTCACCTGTGTGTGTCATTAGCCTTAGCTTGTCATACACGGACAGAGCAAGTTATCATTGGTTACATCATTTAACTGCTTCCATACCGGGAACTTTTACACCTTCCTGCCAAGGCCATTTTTCACATTTCAGCGCTCTCACACTTTGAATGACAATTGCGCGGTAATGCAACATTGTACACAAACTAAAATTTTATCATTTTCTCCACACAACTAGAGCTTTCTTTTGGTGGTATTTAAGCAACACTGGGTTTTTTATTTTTTGCTAAATTAACAAAAAAAGACCGAAAATTTGGAAAAAAAAAAACACATTTTCTTTGTTTCGGTTATAAAAGTTTGCAAATAAATAATTGTTCTTCATAAATTTAGGCCGAGATGCATTCTGCTACATGTCTTTGGTGAAAATAACCCAAATTAGGATGTATTATTTAGTTTGTAGGAAAGTTATAGAGTTCACAAACTATGGTATATATCTGAATATTGATCAATCCTGAAGTACTGACGGCCAATCTAATTTCTTGAGGTCTAAGAATGTCAGAACAGTACAGATATCCCCCAAATGACCCTTTTTTGCAAAGTAGACAGTCCGACGTATTTCATAACAGGCATGGTCAGGGGCGGACTGACAACTCATGGGGCCCCCGGGTAATAGGGGATCATGGGGCCCATGTCCTCGCCCACACCCAAAAAAGCCAATGAAAGGTACCAGGGGCATCTCATGGGGCCCCCTACTGACCCCGGGCCCTCGGGCAGTGCTCATATGGTCAGTCCGCCCCTGGGCATGGTGAGTTTTTTGAAGTAGTAATTTTTTTGTCAAAATTTTTCGGAAAATGAAAAAATTAAAAATAATAACTCACTATTTTTTTTTTTACATACTGTCACCAGTGCAGTACAGCGTCATTATATAACTGGCATGGTGGTGATCAGGGACACTGACTGATGACAGTACAAAAAAAAATTATAATTTTTTTTTACTTGTTTTAAATTTTTATTACATTTTTTTCTCTTTTTTTAAGATTTCTTTTTCATATTTCACTATGACCAAAGTAGAATAATGTTACCATAGCAACATTGTACTACTTTGGGGAAGTGATCAGTATTTTTTTTTTTTTTTTTTTTTTACACATGAGCAATCTGACATTTTGAAATTGCAGGCAGAATCATGGCGATGCGACCTGCGATTTAAAACGCTGATATGTGAATGGAGTCTTAATGAAACCCTCCAGTCAACAATGAAAACTAAGCTTTAATGCCTGACTCCGGCATCCCTCTCCTGCGCTAGCTCTCTCTTGCGATTGTTATTGCCAATAACATGATCAACAGCAACATCCAAAAAAAGACCGACAATTTTGAGAAAAAAAATATATATATATTTTTGACTTTTTGCTATTAAAACATTTCCAGTAAAAAAAATAACAATTTCATCAGAAATTTACACCATAATGTATTCTGCAACATGTCTTTGCTAAAGAAAAAAATTCACAGTAAGTGTAAATGAATTGGTTTACATGAAAGTTATAGCATTTACAGATGGCGATATACACAGTGAGGAACAGAAGTATTTCAACACCCTGCGATTTTGCAAGTTCTCCCACTTAGAAATCATGGAGGGGTCTGAAATTCACATTGTAGGTGCATTCCCACTCTGAGAGACAGAATTTAAAAAAAAAAAATTCAGGAAATCACATTGTATGATTTTTAAAGAATTTATTTGTCTTGCACTGCTGAACATAAGTATTTGAACACCTAAGAAACAGCAAGAATTCTGGTTCTCAAAGACCTGTTACTGTGCCTTTAAAAAAGGCACTTCTACTCCACTCATTAATCTAACTTAATAGCACCTGTTTGAGCTCTTTAAAGACACCTGTCACCCCACAGTCAGTCAGATGCCAACTAGTACCATGGGCAAGACCAGAGAGCTGTCAAAAGACACCAGAGACAAAATTGTGGACCTCCACAAGGCTGGAAAGGGCTACGGGACAATTGCCAAGCAGCTTGGTGAAAATAGATCAAACTGTTGGAGCAATTGTTAGAAAATGGAAGAGGCTAATAACGACTGTCAGTCTCCTTCGGACTGGGGCTCCATGCAAGATCTCACCTCGTGGGGTATCACTGATGGTAAGAAAGGTGAGGAATCAGCCCAGAACTACAAGGGAGGAGCTGGTCAATGACATGAAGAGAGCTGGGACCACAGTTTCAAAGGTCACTGTCGGTAGAACACTACGCTGTCATGGTTTCAAATCATGCATTGCACGGAAGGTTCCCCTGCTCAAGTCATCACATGTCCAGGCCCGTCTGAAGTTTGCCAATGACCATCTGGATGATCCAGAGGAGGCATGGGAGAAAGTCATGTGGTCAGATGAGACCAAAGCAGAACTTTTTGGTCTAAGCTTCACTCGTTGTGTTTGGAGGAAAAAGAAGGATGAGTTGCATCCAAGAACACCATCCCTACTGTGAAGCATGGGGGGTGGTAACATCATGCTTTGGGGGTGCTTTTCTGCGAAGGGGACAGGACAAAACTGCACTGTATTAAGGAGAGGATGAATGGGGCCATTTATTGTGAGATTTTCAGCAACAACCTCCTTCCCTCAGTCAGAGCATTGAAGATGGGTCGTGGCTGGGTCTTCCAACATGACAACGACCCGAAGCACACAGCCAGGATAACCAAGGAGTGGCTCCGTCAGAAGCATATCAAGGTTCTGGAGTGGCCTAGCCAGTCTCCAGACCTAAATCCAATAGAACATCTTTGGAGGGATCTGAAACTCCGTGTTGCTCAGCGACAGCCCCGAAACCTGACAGATCTAGAGGAGATCTGTGTGGAGGAGTGGGCCAAAATCCCTGTTGCAGTGTGTGCAAACCTGGTCAAGAACTACAGGAAACGTTTGACCTCTGTAATAGCAAACAAAGGCTTCTGTACCAAATATTAACACTGATTATCTCAGGTGTTCAAATACTTATGTTCAGCAGTGCAAGACAAATGAATTCTTTAAAAATCATACAATGTGATTTCCTGAATTTTTTTTTTAATTCTGTCTCTCAGAGTGGGAATGTACCTACAATGTGAATTTCAGATCCCTCCATGATTTCTAAGTGGGAGAACAAAATCGCAGGGTGTTCAAATACTTCTGTTCCTCACTGTATATTGTATTTATACCGGCCGTGACCCGGTGATTGGCAGCTACGGCCGTGAAAGGTGGTGCAGGTAGGGGGGCGCACGCCTCCCACCCGGAAATGCAAAATCATACGTGATTTTGTGCACCGTATCGCCCTGTAACAGTATTTCTGCAATAAGGTGGTGCAAAAGCGGTTAAAAGTTACTTGTGTATACACAATTTTTGGTTTATAAAAGACCAGATAGTAAACAAAATAAAAATCTAATCCATTGCAGGCTGCATTATTAAACGGCTCAAATCTCATAAATATCAGGTAAAAAAAAAAAACAAAAAAAAAACAAAACACAAAATACTGTAATAAAGATTTACAGTAGCAAGTGTGGGTACTGTGTGCGTCTGCATGTACGCCAACAGCCCCTCCAACTCCTGTGAGAGTGACAACAATTTGGTATATTGCAGCAGTGCAGTGAGCGTTGTCCCCTTCAAAAAGGCAATTTTTCCACCACAACTGGCCCTTACCATGCTGGTTACACAGATATTCTCTCATCTTCATCACCATCTTGGACCTTATCCTGAGGTTGTGCTGAAGCTGCGCACTGCGAATGTCCAGATAACGATATTGCATTCTCAAAGCTTCTGATTTCTGTAAGTAAAATACAAAGTTTAAAAGTCGGATGTTATTATTATTATTATACAGTATTTATATAGCGCCGAAGGGTGTGCTCAGCACTGTACATTAGCAAGGGGGAAAGTACATGAGACAATACAGTACAATACACGAGGGGTTCGAGGGCCCTGCTCTTTTGAGCTTACAATATGTTATAAATGATTATATTTGAACACATAGCAATGCAAGATATGCACCATCTCTGCAAGTTCCCTTTAATGTTGGTTAAATCATCTGCATGTGCTTACCAATGGTTCACTTCACCACTGCTCTGTTCGGCCATCTGGATCAAAGACATGAAGCCTGTGTCAAGACTTGGTGCTTACACTGTGCTGATGACTCTCTCCCTGTACCTACAAGACAGTGATGGGTGTCTGAGCGGCCAATCACCAATGCTGTCAATGTGGGGAGGACAGGGAATGAGTCACGTGCTCCCCATCCTCAGAACAAACTGATATTTCTTCTCACTGCTGCTGTCCAAACAATATTTCAGGGGAGCAAAGTGCAGTTATGTGCTGCTGG